ATTCTTATCTATATAAGTATCCGTACATAATGTTAGTTTGCAAAAATAACCTTTTAATATTAAGCATACTAACTCACCATAAAGGGACATAACCGGAATTCTAGACACTAGCCTTGTAATCCTATTAGTTTTAGGACATAATATACGTTATGAATCCTACATGATTATCTTTAGGAATCCTATTAATATAATCCTAATACGTTTAATCATGTAATCATATTACTTTTAGGATATACTTCTTAAAAAAATCATATTACTAATTTAATTTTAAAACATATTATATTGTTCAATTACTAATTTAATTTGACAATGTATTAGCCTCTCTACTCGTTTGGAGTAGGGGTAAGGTCTTACACACTACCCTCCCCAGACCCACTTGTGGGATTTTATTGGGTCGTTGTTGTTGTCATGTATTATATTGTCCAAATTTATTTTTTTAAAAGGAGAACTTATATTATTATAAAAGCTCGAATACAATATTTATAGATCAAAATAGCCCTAAAATATTAAACAGAAGAACTCATAGGGAAAGAACATAACTTTAATAACTTTTTTTGGACTATAATAGCTACTATGTTAATTTTTAATATTTGAAATCATAAAATTAATAAAAGTTTGTCTATTCAATTCTTATTAAAAATATGTAGGAATGTTTGATAAAATCAATTTCATAAGAATCCTCTGTATTGGTAATACATTACTACTTGATAATATCAAATACTAAGAAAAATAAAAGTAATGTTAAACGGACTACATAACGCGTTGAAATTGAGAGCAAAAATCCTCATGATAATATATTTTTATATTATATTTGAACTGGTTTCCTACTCAAATAATATTTTGTTATTATTTATTTCTCGTGTAATATTGAAAAATATACCTAATTTTTAAAGAACAACTAAGAATTTTTTTAAGACTATAAATATGTGAGAAAGAGAAAGAAAAAGGTTGGTAAGATTCAATACCACTAATGATTTTGCAAACACAAATATCTAAAAGTGGAATGTCATATCGATCTTTTTACTCTTTAAAAATAAAATTTATGGGGGATGAAATTATAATTACGATTAAATATTCAAAACAAGAGATGAACTAACATTAAAAATATGAATTAATAGAAAATAAATTATTTTTTATGTTAAAACCAAATAATCAAAACTTCAATTAACTATTTAGCAAAGAATGCATTGTAATTAGTTTTTAAATTCATCATATGAGTAAAATTATTTTTCAATAAACAATATCTTAGGGTACATAAATTTATTCCATAAAAAGAGCGTTAGAGATTAAGAAAATTAGATCACAAAAGTAAAAAAAAAAATAACATAGTATTAAAAAGGCCATGCAAGTGATTGAGAAAGCACAATCAAAGTTATATCCTAAACAAAAATAAGCTTTCAAGACTATATTATAAAGAGTCGATCTGGTATAGCGGAATTATCCTTTGTGGACACCCCCGCCAGAATCGAAATAATTTTCCTATGTCATGCATTACTTGCAAATGTCAGACCAAGATGCATGATATTGTTAGCTATAACAAGTGATATACCATCAATGATTTTATTATGAGGTCGTACAACTCACTTTAGATTTGATATACCTCTTCAAACAACTGAAATAAACCATCACAAATATATCAAAGCAGAGCAATAGTGCTAAATTTATAAGGAAGCCAAATTGATAATATGGGATGAAGGGCTTATGGCTAAACGTCAAAGAATCGAAACAATTGCCTAGAGTTTTAGAGATATATTGGATATCAATGAACCATTTAGTGGAAAAGTAATGGTTTAGGAGGTGATTTCTGTCATGTACTATTAGTAGTTCCGAAATCGACGAAAGCAAAGACTACAAAAGCTAGGTTGTCAAAATTATACTTGTGGACTCAAATGAAAAAGATTCAAAACAAAAATTATAAAAGTAAGAACAGATCCAACATTCAGTGACTTCTTACTTCCAGTCGAAAATGACGAAGAGCACCCAATAAAAAATAATTTAGTTGTTCCAGAACACTTGGTTATCAATCCAAATGGGTAATAGTAGTGCATTTAATAAGAAAAATATTTTCATCAGTAGATTAAAACGTAATTTGTGCAAATTAAATGATAGAAATTAAAGAGTTATCTTAGCTAGCAGAAATGAATATATTGATCAATAAATAAAAGGTTGATTGCTAAGTTTTATGGTAAAAATAAAATATTTTTTAGTTTTGACTCAACCGAAGATGATCGATACCAACAATTACTACCAAGAAGAATACTTAAATACTTTAATATCAAATGACTTTCTACTATCCAGGTTTGTTGTCAAGTTTATTATTTCTTACGTATGTTAGTGTCACCATATATATAATAGACTAAGTTAAAATTGACCTTCGATTGGATATAGATTGATTTTAAAGAAAAATATGCCCGTCATGCTACTGAAAACTTAGATCCGCCGAATAACTTATGTAATAGTACACAGTTAGTATATTGAAGTTTCGACAATAAAATCACATGCAGAAATTATGATACTGGTCAACGTGCTTCTAAGTACGTTTTTATCCTTGAAATCAACTTTCGTCTTCCAAAATTAAAGAATATCCTTTAAAATTTGTGTAAAAATAATTTTTAATATGCTTATATTTTGTAATTATAATAAAGCACAAGGACAAACATCCTAAATCTTGAACTATGTTTACAACAATATGTTTTCTTGCACGAATAACTATATGTTGCACTTTCAAGAGGGATATTAATATCGACAACAAGAGTTCTGGTTATGGCAGAATAACCAAATCATTAGAAGGAAACATGCACAAAAAAACATCGTCTACAAAGAAGTGTTCGGTAAGATATTATCATATTAGATACCTTTAAACTACAATACATAATTATCTAATTAACATGACTAAATTAATCATTTTTTTAAGTTCTAATGATGTCCTTTCATTTTGAATTCACGTATTATGCTAATGTAATAATATTTTTCGACATTTAGATAATTGTTGTATTATTATACATAAAATTTTTCTCATTAATTAATTATTTTTTCCTTCATACAAATAAATATTTAAATCATCATGTGTCATTATTAACGTGCAACGCACGTTTATAGATACTAGTATCTTAAAAAGATGAGAAATAATCATAAATATTTGTAATCTTTGTACATGAAAATAAAAAATGAACTGAGAATCTTCTTTTTTATTAATATTTCCATGCCATTAATGTCAAACTCTACTCATCATTTAAATATTTGTCCAAATAAGAGTATTAATAAGTTGCGGAGAAAATGTTAATTGAGGCAACGATCCATTTGAAACTAGTTCTGATATATTAAATATTAATTGAGGCAACGATCCATTTGAAACTATTTTGCGGAGAAAATGTGTTTAGCTTCCTTTTTTTTTTTTTTAAGTGAATAGAGGCACTTAAGAAATTAATTGGGAATATGACAAATCACATGATATTATTTTGAAACTAATACAATCAGACGATAACAAGTAGTCAAAAGAGAATTAAATAAAAAGCAAGCATTCATCTTGTAGATGGTTTGGCAAGAATGTATCTATCTATCTATTTATTTATTTATTTATTTATTAAGTATACAAAAGAGAAGAAGAAAAGAGATTTCTCAAGTTCGGAACTAATAGTAGCAAAATGGTTAAAAGAAAACAGTTAACCACTCATATTATCCACTAAAAAATTGGTTAAACAATAAAGTTTTTAAAAACGGGTCAAATATGGATAAGAACCATATTATCCATTTAGAAAATGGATAATCGATGGGTAGCCAATGAATAACCAATGAGTTTAACTTTTACATTTGTAAAGCCTCAAATTGGTGGTTCCTCAAGTTTGGGAGATTAGGGATAATATGGCTACCCATATATATTATCAGCCAGATAACCTGTTTTTTATCCGTATTAAACATGGATCGAGTCGGATAATTCATATATTTTTTCATCACTTGTTTTCGACCCAAACCATATCCGACCCGACCCTTCTGTTTGCCAACTAATGAAACAACTCTTTCGCTAACATATTGGGAACGATTCAAAGATAAATTTAAAACGTGTAAGAGAAGAAAGGTATATTGAGAATAATAATTCAATAATGTCATACTAGTCTCAATATTAGTATGATATTTGGGGAGTATCCATTGATCCCCTTTTCTTTAATCTTTAAAACTTACTGCTGTATCATTACAAATTATTTTAAAAGTAAATACCATACTAAGTACATCCCCAAATAGAGTAGTATTTAGAAAAAAAACATCAATACTGTAATAATTAGTTTCACATTAGGAAAAAGTCAAGAATTATTAATGATAATCAATAGATTGAAAATCATGAAAGATCCATGCTCAATTTTCAATAGAAACAAAAATATTACTGTAATTTCCTTAAATTTGACTAAACAAGTGGGAAGAGTTATCTCCGGTGAGAAATAATAAGTAGGTGTCAATTAGAATAGATCGTGCCTCGTAACCTGAACACTAAGTGGTTACTTCTTATTTGTTTAAGTCTTAAATGACAAAGTTATCGGTACATTTGCTGATAGGAGAAAGCAAAAATCACGTGAAACTAATCGAGGTATGCATATGCTGATCCGAAAAACGGTTATAAAAATAATTTTAATGAAAAAGGGATAAACTCAAATTAAATAACTCATAAAGCAAGAGAACATACAATCCTATACCTTTCACACCAATCTCACCCCCACACCCCACACCCATCCTTGTCAAAGATTTGTATTGTTGTAGAAAGGCCAAAACCATCCCAAATTGTCCAACCATGTTAATTTCAACTCTCCCAAGTAGATCGGAAGAGCA